TGAAGAATCCTACATTCAGCCTTTAAGCATTCTGCATTTCTTTGCCAATCTTGTAGCTGAGTATCTTGTTCCAGTCGATTTTGGTGCGGGTAACTGGAAGCTGCCGGCGCAAAGCCTTGAATGTGGTATCTGACATTGTTTGATAGTTTTCACTAATTGCTGTCTGCAATAGATAATTGAAAATGAGTTGCTTGAAGAGAAATGGGATTGCTTGTGAAAAGGAAAGTAATGCAATAGTTAATGAATATGTGTGAGTCCTCTAAGAAGAAGAGACAGGATATATTTTTAGTGAGCTCCTCTCCCGTCTCTGAAGTGGGTCAAGAAGCTCACATACACAGGATGTCCATAAAGTTTGTGTACAATTTACACTGTAAAACTATTTTAAATTGCACACAAATTTTATGAACACCCTGTATTATTTCTAAAACTAGAGCTGTAGTCCTTTGTAATCCTGAAACCCTGACTGTAAACAGAATACCAAGTTGCTGCAAAGTCTCCACAATTAGTACCACTGCACAACAGGTACATTTAAAGGACACAGAGAAGTCTAAAAATATGTTAACAGCAAAATAAGATACTAGATCTAGAAAAAATTAGTTCTAAATCCCCTTACCTGATACTCATTTTCTGCATTCTCTATGATTTTAATAAACTCCTTGGCAGTTTGAACTTCACTCTAAAGGAAGAAGGAAGAGGGGAAAATAAGAATTTTTAAAAATGTGTAAGCAGGAAGAAAAAGATACTGAAAAGTCCATCTTAAACAACATTTGTATAACAATTTCTAGTTTACCGAGTATTCCTGTGCACAGTAACTCCATTGATTCTCAACTCTGTGAAGTAGATATACTGTAATAATCACCTCTGATTTGAACATGAGAAAGCAGAACTCTCTTAAGCGACTTGACCAAAATTACATAGCTTTTGAATGATAAAGATGGACCTGAAACTAGAATTCCATCAAAAAAACCTATGTTTTTACCAATCTACCAAATATGCTGAAAAAGATATCAAGTCTTGGGCCAGGCATGGTGGCTCAAACCTGTAATCCTAGCACTCTGGGAGGCCCAGGTGGACTGCCTGAGGTCAGGAGTTCAAGATCAGATTAAGCAGGAGACCCTGTCTCTTAAAAAAAAAAAAAAAAAAATCTGGGTGTTGTGGCTGGGGCCTGTAAGTCCCAGCTACTTGAGAGGCTGAGGTGAGAGGATCCCTTTAGCCCAAGATTTTGAGGTTGCTCTGAGCTATGATGTCACTGTACTCTACTGGGGGCAAGGAAGTGAAATTCTGTATCAAAAAACAAAAATGAAGAAGATATGAAGTCTTTAATTTTTTGTATCTCACTCTGTTGCCCTAGAATAGGGTGCTCTGGTGTCAGCCTAGCTTACAGCGACCTCAAACTCTTTGGTTCAAGTGATCCCCCAGTCTCTGCTTCCCTAGTAGCTGGGACTATTGGTGCCGGCCACAACTCCCAGTGAGTTTTTATGTTTTTAGTAGAGAGAGGATCTTGATCTTGTTCAAGCTGGCCTCAAACGCCTGTGTTCAAGCAATCCACCTGGCTGGGCCACCCAGAGTGCTAGGACTACTGGCGTGAGCCACTGCACTTGGCCCAGTCTTCAAATATTGATGCCTTCAAAATATTTCTGATTTAAAATGATATGAAAAATGTCTGCAGACACATCAGTCATATATATAAGTTCACATATTCCTTTATCTGCCACTTATGATGTTAAACCAGCTAATCACATTTTGTATTAAATGATTCAGGTACAAAATGAAATGAATCTCTCTTCCTCTCACCATTAAGTATAACAGAATTAAAGGGAAGAAGGTGGCAGGACATGGTGGCTCACTCCTGTAATCTTAGTACTCTGAAAAACCCAGGTAGAAGGATCACTTGAGGTAAGGAGTTCAAGACCAGCCTGAGCAAAGTGAAAGTGCCTCTACTAAAAACAATTAGCCAGGTATGGTGGCTCGTATTGATAGTTCCAGCTACTGAGCAAGAGGATTGCTTGAGCCTGAATTTGAGGTTGCTGTGAATGAGGCTGAGACCCTAGCACTCTACCCTGGGTAACCAAGTGAGACTTTTGTTTTTGGAGATAGAGTCTTACTCTGTTGCCCTTGATAGAGTGCTATGGCATCACAGCTCATAGCAACCTCAAACTCTGGGGCTCTAGTGATCCTCTTGCCTCAGCCTCCTGAATAGTTGGGACTACAGGCACCTGCCACAATACCTGGCTGTTTTTTAGAGATGGGTCTTGCTCTTACTCAGACTGGTCTCAAACTCCTGAGCTAAAGGGATCCACTTGCCTTAGCCTCCCAGAGTGCTATGATTATAGGTGTGAGCCAGTGCCCAGCATGAGACTCTCATCTTAAAATAAATAAAAATAAAAGAGAAGAAAGTAAGATTTAATTGTCTAGAGCAACAGTTTCAAGATAAGACTGTGTAAGAGATAAAAAATACTTTCCGTTCTTATAATAATATTGAGACGAAGTTATTTGCCTATTTCACTTTTACTCTGTAATGCTTCTACAGTGCAGTTTCCAGGGGGTTACATGACATGTGATGACTTTATTGATTTGAGAGCTAATGGAATGAGGCAGATATGAGAATCCTGCTATCTTTTATTAAGCCAGACATTATACAATTTGTGAAGATGAAAATTAGTGACATTCTCCTAGCATTTTTTTGGTTTGGAAAATATAGTAAGTCATAAAAATGTTACTTTTGATAACATGTAATGAATTTATTATTTTTAATTAATATTTTAAACATTTCTCAGTTTTATTTATTTTTGAGACAAGGTCTCACTTTGTTGCCTGGGCTAGAGAAAAGTGGCATCATTGCAATCTAAAATTATAGTTCATTGCAATCTAAAATTCCTGGGCTCAATGATCTTTCCCCTTAGCCTCCCAAGTAGTTGGTACTGCAGGCATGTGTTACCATGCTAATTTTCTTTTTTCTTTTTTTTATAGAGATGGGGTCTCACAATGTTGCCCAGGCTGGTCATGAACTCCTCAAAGACCCCTCCTGCCTCAATATCCCTAAGTGCTAGGATTACAGACATTTACCACTGTGCCTGGTTGACGTAAGTTTTAATTTAATAAGGTAAATGCTGATAGACATAACACACATAAACAAAAGTTCTTTAAGGGTATTCAATGAGTCTAAGAATGTAAAAAAGTAATGATACCACGAAAAAAAAAAAAGCAAAAAACAAAAACCAAATTATAATCCCCTTCTTTCAAGGAATAGAACATAATGTTTTCTAGTTGCATACTTCTGAAACTGCTTTTTCTTTTTTTTTTTTTTTTTTGAGACAAGAGTCTCAAGCTATTGTCCTGGGTAGAGTGCCGTAGCATCATAGCTCACAGCAACCTCCAACTCTTGGGCACAAGTGATCCTCTTGCCTCAGTTTTTCTATTTTTAGTAGAGACAGGGGTCTCGCTTTTGCTCAAGCTGGTCTCGAACTTGTGAGCTCAAGCTATCCACCTGCCTAGGCCTCTCAAGAGTGCTAGGATTACAGGCGAGAGCCACCTCATCTGGCCTAAAATTGTTATTTCTTTATATAAAGCCTTACTAGGATTTAGTTTGCCAAACTTTCTTTATCACTGGTGTTTACTGGTTAAAGGATTTGCTGTCTTTGAGCAAATTTTACAATTAAGAGAGAAAGAAGTTAGTTTCTCTAAAACCATAATCACTATTTTGAGTCCAAGATTACAAACTAATATAGCTGGTTAGGCCTAATAGAGGCTGTCAAAATCAAAGCACTAAAAGCAACTGAATTTCTGCCAGCAGAATCAGCACCCAGGTTCAAAACCCATTTAAGAAAAGTCACAAGTGAGACAGACATTAAATATCTCATACTCACTGAAACAGTTATTGAATCCTGCACATCTTTATGACTAACCAACTGAACATTGCCATCTTCATAATAGTGAACCTGTGTGAGAGAATGTTTGAGCAAGTTTATGTGAACTTCATATACAGGGTGTCCTAAAAGTCATCCATAAAGTGGATACACATAAGGAAAGTGGGACGTTATAGCTAAATGTACCTTCATTTACAAAATATTTATAGAAAATTCTACAAAATATTTACAAAGCATTCTTTACATGTTGACTACTTCTTTGTAAAGTAGCTGGGACTGCAGGCACCCACCACAATGCCTGGCTATTTTTTTTTTTTTTTAAAGATGGGGTTTCACTCTTTTTCAGGCTGGTCTCGAACTCGTGAGCTCAGGCAATACACCCACCTCAGCCTCCGAAGTGCTAGGATTATAGGCTCCAGCCACCAAGCCCGGCTTACAGCTATTATTTATTGAGACTTTATTATGTGTTAGGCACTATGCAAAATACCTCCCTTATTACTTATCTCATTTAATCTTTATGAAAACTCTATGGGATAAGGACTACTACTATTTTTTTTAAACAGTTGAGGAAACAAAGGCTTAAAGTAGCTTAATAACTTACTCATATTTGCATACATAATAGTAGGAGGAAATTCCACTAAAACCTTATCAGACATGCACACTACTTCCTAATGCTTTGCTTTGTCAAAAAGTTAGAAATTCCTCCATCTGGGTAGAAATAAAGTGTCTGACTAGGACCTTACTCTTTTGGGATATCATCAGAAGAACACAACTAATAGCTAGGCTTCCCTTAGGCAGAAACCATGGTCCTATTTCAAATAAAAGGACTTCCCTGGGTAACAGGAATCTACTACATATCCTTATTTAAGGCACAAAAATAGGTATCTTCTTTAATGGGGACAAACAGGTGGCTCTATCTGGATGAGCAAGAGATTTTAGATTTTCCAAACCCTGAAATTTTACCTTTTGAGTTTCTAAAAGAGGTTAAATGGAAATTTAAGAGGAAAAGAAGGGAGATGATAAATGGCTTTAATATGTAGTACTTATGTGGCAAAATCAGAATAGCAAAAATTTGGCCAAAAAAGATTGGACTAAACAATTACATATAAAGACTAAAATTTCAACAGACAAGGGCGAGAATATTTGAAATGCAGAAAGGTCATACCCAAACACCATTTTGTTTGTTTCTCAAATAAAAAAACTAGAAGTCAAGGGGCTAAAAAAAATACTTGAAAGAGGAATGAGTACAAACAGAATTGGGGAAATTAACAAAAGAAAGAGAAAGAGATCTGGTCAGAGAAGAAAAAAAGACTTGTGTATTTCTCAGAAGTGTCATCTTAAAGGAGCATGCAGGGCACATATTTTTTTTGTCCAAGAATAAAGACTATGTAATTGGTATGAATTTTCGTTATGTTTCTTAAGAACTAGGACACAGATAGGAATATAGGATGAGGCCAATAAGCTTCAGTGTTTATGAACTCAGTTGAAAATCTGAAAAATATTAATTCCATTATGTAATATACTAATGATAGAAACATTTTTAGAAATTAAGTTTAAACTCTATGTATTCCAAAACAAAACCCTTTCTAGGTCTCATCTGCTAACGTGAAAATGGTTCAGTTAATACACAATAATGTGACTGTCATCAATACAAATCCTCAGACATTATTGTCTTCCCAGAACTACCCTTGGCCTATAGTCAAGCCTAAATATCTTAATGACTCTTGCAAATAATTCTCACTTCGATTTTTAAAAAGTATATAAATGAAGCCCTCCCCCAAAGTCTGATCAGACAATATGCACCTAAAAAGATATAAATGAGGATCTGCACACTGGGCTCTGCTATAAAACACTTACCAGAAATCATCACCTTTTGTGATGTGTGTTCTTACTTTCTAAGTTTGCACTGGCAAAGCTAAAATATAAATAACTGTTCCTGCCTAATTAAGGAAGTAAATTTATTTTATTTATTTATTTATTTTTTTTGAGACAGAGCCTCAAGCTGTCCCCCTGGGTAGAGTGCCATGGCATCACAGCTCACAGCAACCTCCAACTCCTGGGCTCAAGCTAGTCTCCTAACTCAGCCTCCCAAGTAGCTGGGATCACAGGCGCCCGCCACAACGTCTGGCTATTTTTTGGTTGCAGCCATCGTTGTTTGGTGGGCCTGGGCTGGATTCAAACCTACCACCTTAGGTATATGTGGCTACTTAGCTACATAAATTTATAGTAAGCTGCCTGGTTAATGCTGTCATACAAAAGGTTTATTTAGAGCATTAAGCTACTAATAGGTTTGGTTAATAGAATAATATGCTGTTTTAGTAGACCCCAAGATAAATATTTGAGGGAAAGTAGCTTATTTGGGAATATGAAGAATTTTTGGCAGAGGACTAAGGAATTGAGAGGTGGGAGGGAAGGCAGGCTCACAGATGCATTAATGAACAGGTTATAGCTGTGGGCATTGGGCTCTGGAAGACTAAGTGGAACATGCTTCAGAGCTGTCTCACTTGAGGAGAAAGGAAGCTGGCTTATTTATTTACCAGCTCTTCTGCAACATTGAGGGTTGTCCCCAGAGCTGTGAATACTTCTAGGAGGAGCTACTTGTAGCAAGAAGATACAGGTACTTATAAAAAGAGATGCCGACAGCATTTACTACCTATGCATCTGATTAAACTATGCCATTAAATAAAGATAGCCCTTGCTAATTGTTATTAAGACTTAACACAATATAACACGGGTGCATTAGATACTAATCTTCTCACTTACCTATAACTGTTTAATCTTACCTTAATCAGGCTTAAAAATTAAATCACTCTGAATGTAGTAAGTCAAACCTCTGCTAGGATATTAGAAGACTTCAATACTGATAAGCATCAAATGAGCTAAGAGCTACCTTACTGCCTGTCTGTTCTGACACGAGCATTAGAAATCTACTCTGCTTGGCTATTTACAGGCCAAGATGTCAACACTTGGCCTTCTCTCTAATTCCTCTGTTTTACTCAGTTTAGTTTAATTTTATTTATTTTAAAATCTTCTGTCAATAAAACAAAAGCCACCTACAAAACCATTCATATAGCTTTTCTTCAAAACTAGAGGTTTTTTTTAAAGGTTGGATACCCTTGTTCTAGTTCTTCTTATTTTTTTTGCAGTTTTTGGCCGGGGCTGGGTTTGAACCCGCCACCTCTGGCATATGGAACCTATGGAACCGGTGCCCCAACCTTTTCAGCCACAGGCACCGCCCCAAAACAAGAGGTTTTATATTATGTAGACATAACTGAGATAATATTTATAAAAGACCCTAAATTACAGTACTATATAATAAAGTATATAGTAACATTATTTTATTCTTTCCTAAAACTGTTCTATAATTTCTGGAAAGTTCTTGTGTAATCATTGAAGGAAAAAATAACAATAATCATGTTGCAGTATATGCTACATGAGTATCCTTTATCAACTCAGAATAGCTCAGTTTAACTATCCCCTCAGGAAAGGGGTTTCTGTTTCTATATACTGACTTCAATCTTCCTTTCTGTCTACATATAGTTGGTCATTATTTTTTTTTTTTTTTTTTTTGAGACAGAGCCTCAAGCTGTCCCCCTGGGTAGAGTGCCGTAGCATTACAGCTCACAGCAACCTCCAACTCCTGGGCTCAAGCGAGTCTCCTGCCTCCGCCTCCCAAGTAGCTGGGACCACAGGCGCCCGCCACAACGCCTGGCTATTTTTTGGTTGCAGCCGTCATTGTTGTTTGGCGGGTCCGGGCTGGGGATTCGAACCCGCCACCTTAGGTGTACGTGGCTGGCGCCTTAGCCAGTTGAGCTATAGGTGCTGAGCCAGTTGGTCATTATTTTTACTACCAGAACAAACAGCAACTTGCATGTCTGTTTTATAGATGTGAAGTTTAAACCACGTTGAACTTTTACCTGAATCTTAAGCACTCCAACCACTTGGGCTGTAGGTGGTGTGACAGTGAACTTCCACTCTGATCTCCAACGACCATTCCTATTAAAACACACACACACACAAACACACAATGCTGCCAAATTAGCAATAAGCACAAGAAAGAGATAATTTGTCACTGTAAAAGAAGTTGGTCAAGAGAGAAAAGAAAAAGAGTCACTTTTAGTTTGACAAACTCAAAGCTCTGTCTACTTAAATGTAGTTTGGGGGCTTTTTTTCTTTTCTTTCTTTGAGATAGTCTCACTTTGTAGCCCTTGGTAGAGTGCCATGGTATCAGAGCTCACATCAACCTCAAACTCTGGGAAAGCAATCCTCTTTCCTCAGCCTCCCCAATAGCTGGGACCACAGGTGCCCGCCACAATGCCTGTCTTGCTCTTGCTCAGGTTGGTCTCAAACTCACAAGCTCAAGAGTTCCACCTACCTCAGCCTACCAGAGTGCTAGGATTACAGGTGCGAGCCACCATGCCTGCTGGGTTTTGTTTTTGCTTTTTTTTTTGAGACAAGAGCCTTAAGTTGTCCCCTGGGTAGAGTGCCATGGCATCACAGCTCACAGCAACCTCCCAATTCCTGGGCTCAAGCGAGTCTCCTGCCTCCGCCTCCCAAGTAGCTGGGACCACAGGCACCTGCCACAACGCCCAGCTATTTTTTTGGTTGCAGCCATCATTGTTGTTTGATGGGCCCGGGCTGGATTCGAACCCACCACCTTAGGTGTGTATGTGGCTGGCACCTTAGCCACTTGAGCCATAGGCACTGATCCTTGATTTTGTTTTTTTAGAGAGAGAATCTCTCACTTTATCGCCCTTGGTAGAGTGCTGTGGCATCATAGCTCACAGCAACTTGTAACTCCTGGACTTAAGCAAATCTCTTGCCTCAGCCTTCTGAGTAGCTGGGACTACAGGTGCTCGCCACCCTCGGTATATGGGGCTGGTGCTCTACCCACTGAACCACAGGCGCTGCCCTGGTTTTTGTTTTTTGAGACCAAGACTCATTCTGTTGCTCAGACTAGAGTTGTCCTGGTATCAGCTTACCTTACACAACCTCAAACTTCTGGGTTCAAGTGCTCCTCCTGCCTCAGCCTCCTAAATAGCTGGGATTACAGGGGGTTACAGGTACCCATACCACATCCAGCTAATTTTTTCTGTGTTTTTTTTTTTTTGGTAGAGATGGGGCCTCACTTTGTGGCAGGCTGATCTCTAACTTCTGAGCTCAAGTGATCCTCCAGCCTTGGCCTTCTAGAGTGCTAGAATTATAGGCGTAAGCCACTAGGCCTCACTTAAATGTGAGATTGGATACAAGTGGTCTGCCTATAAGCTTTTTCTAAGTTATTTTGACTTTTTTGTTTTTTTTGAGGCAGAGCCTCAAGCTGTCCCCCTGGGTAGAGTGCCATGGCATAGCTCACAGCAACCTCCAACTCCTGGGTTCAAGTGATCCTCCTGCCTTCGCCTCCCAAGTTGCTGGGATCACAGGCGTCCACCACAACACCTGGCTATTTTTTTTTTTTTTTTTTGGTTGCAGCCATCATTGTTGTTTGGCGGGCCCGGGCTGGATTTGAACCCGCCACCTTAGGTGTATGTGGCTGGTGCCTTAGCCACTTGAGCCATAGGCGCCAAGCCAGTTATTTTGACTTCTATGTTTCTTTTTTTCCCCCTTGAAGTAGAAAATCATGCCTATTCTGTTCATAGGAGGCTCTTCCAAAAACAGATGGGTAGGCTGCAGAGTTATGCAGTTAACTCAAATATTACTAATGACCTTAACCCAAGGGAAATTCACATTCTCAACGCAGCACATTATTAATCACTTGTTCTCACTCAACATAAGAGTATTTTCAAAATATATATATGATTATAAAATCTTAGAATTGGAAGAAACTTAAATTTCTAAGTCTCTCATTTTATACTTAGAAACTGAAGTCTCTAAGATAAATAATTTATTCCAAGCTAGTTAGATTAAGACCAAGTCTCAATTGGTGGTTTCTTTCAAATATAACTTAGATACAAACAGAAGGGAACATCTAGTTCTTACCAGAAGTTTTTAGGTTGAAACTGGTGGCTTTCAATACATGCAATAATAGTCTGTTGCCCATCTATAGTTTTAGCATAAACCTATTGTTGGAAAAAAAAATAGACTTAAAAACATATTTAATCTAAACAAAAAACACAGTACAAACACAGTGTGCTAAATCTTGGAGGGAGACAAAGAATTAGCATGAACTTATAACGTAAGTGTTCAGAGAATTTGAACACAGCAGAACATGTTAGGTTCTACGGAGATGGTAGAAAGACAGAGGGGAAATACTGCCCCTGGTTTAGAGTACAACGTAGGTACCATTTAAGCTGTGCTTTACAAGAGAGATGAGATTCTGTTTTATTTTTTTGTTGTTGTTTTTGTTGTGAGACAAAGTCTCACTTTGTCACCCTTGGTAAGAGTGCCATGGCATCATAGCTAACAGTAACCTCAAACTCATGGGGTCAAGTGATTTTCTTGCTTCAGCCTCCCATGTAGCTGAAATGACAGGCGCCTGCCACAACGTCCGGCTATTTTTAGAGATGGGGTCTCACTCTTGCTCAGGCTGGTCTCAAACTTGTAAGCTCAGGCAATCCACCGGTCTTGGCCTCCCAGAGTACTATGATTATAGGTGTGACCCGCCAAGCCAGTGAGAGATGAGATTGTGATAAGCAGAGGCTTAGAAGGAAGATGAGTAAATAGCTCAGGCAGAAAACCTGAGGGTTTGTCCAGTGAATGGCAGTTAATTCTTTCAGGTTAGAGGGTGTGTGAAGTAGACTAGTGGGAGACAAAACAGAATGGTAGATTTAGGTGACTTAGTAGTAGGTAAGGTAAGAAGTTTAGGCTTTAGCCTATAGGCAAGAGAAAGCAAAACATGACCAGAACTAACATTAGGGAGAATAATCAATATTGGTATACAGCATAAAATGGAAGAAAAGCTGAAGGTTGGTTAGGAGGGCACAAAGTTAATCTTAACAACAAGCTAGGGTGGTATCAAAAGAATTGAGAAGAAGGGGTTGCATACAAAATGCCTAAGTACAATAAAAGTCTAGCAATATATTAGAAATGTAGGGGATAGAAAAGAAGGAACCAAAAGACGTCTAGAGAGATAGTAGTATCATTAACAAATCAGAAATCCAGATAGATGGAGGTGTCTAGTTAGTAGTTAGAAATACAAACTGTTTCTAAGTGTGAGAGAGGTGAAAGGAAATGCAACCACCAAAGGAAAAAAAATTGTGCTTTATAGTCACAAATATGTTTTTACATGCATTTCCTATTTACTGTAATAAATCTAGTAAAATACTTTTATCTACAGATGACAGAGTTGAAGTTCACAGAAAGTAAATGATTAAAGTAGAACCTAAACCTACTGAGTTTTTTTTTTTTTTTGAGACAGAGTCTCACTATGTTCCCTCGGTAGAGTGCCATGGCATCATAGTTCACAGCAACCTCAAACTCTTGGGCTTAAGCAAGTCTCTTGCCTCAGCCTCACAAGTAGCTGGGACTATCGGGGCCTGCCACAATGCCTGGCTATTTTTGTTGTTGTTGCTGCTGCTGTAGTTGTCATTGTTGTTTTGGCTGGCCTGGTGTATGTGGCTGGCCAAACCTACTGTCTGTGACACCAACATCTCCGTTTAACACTTTCCCCACTTTTTTTTTTTTTATTAAATCATAGCTGTGTACATTAATACTATCATGGGGGTACAGTGTGCTGTTTTTATATACAATCTGAAATACTTTGATCAAACTGCTTAACACATAGCCTTTATGTCACTTTCTTAGTTATTAAGACATTCATATTCTACATTTAGAAAGATTCGCATGTACCCTTATAAGATGAACCATAGGCATGATCCCACCAATCACCCCACTTTCCCCACATTAAATGGACTTTGAGCTTTCAAGAGAGAGAAATGCAGCTCTGGGGAATGCCTACATTTACAAAGGCAGGGAAGAAAACAAATAAGCATAAACAGAGTAAGAATACTTAGAGGGTGCTAACATAAAAGCCCAACCAAAAGATGATTTCTAGAAGCAGCTGGCTAGCCTCAGTGAAATATAATATAGAAGATGATGCCCGTAGCTCAGTCAGTAGGGCGCTGGCCACATATACTGAGGCTGGTGGGTTTAAACCTGGCCTGGGCCAGCTAAACAATGACAACTGCAACCAAAAAAAAAAATAGCCGGGCATTGTGGTGGGCACCTGTAGTCCCAGCTACTTGGGAGGCTGAGACAAGAGAATTGATTAAGCCCAAGTGTTTGAGGTTGCTGTGAGGTGTGACACCATGGCACTCTACCCCGGATGAAAGCTTGACACTCTGTCTCAAAAAAAAAGAAAGAAAAAAGAAATACCATATAGAAGTCAAGGATCAAGAAAAAGACACTGCATCAGGTAATTCAGAAACCTTTAGTAACCTCAGATAGCAGTTTCTGTAGAACTGGAGATTAATGTAAAAAATAAAAGGTTTCAGAAGTGGATAAAGGAAATGGCACTAATAGGGGAAGAATGCTTATTGGTTTGGTAATACAAAGAGACAGATGAGGGAGGGAAGGGAGAAAGTGGAGAAGAGGAAGAAAGAGTAAGGTGGAAATGAGAAGATAAAGAAAGAGAAATAACTTACAAGAACTTTGAGTGAGGGAAAGTATTTTCCCCCTCAACGACAGGAGAAATAAAACTTCTTCCAGGCAAGAATAAATACATCAGAAGAGAAAATAAAGTCACAAGAAGATATTTCATGTATACATGTATACGGGATAGTATGAATCCAAGAGTAAGGCCCCTTCTTCCTAATGTTCAAGTACAATTGAAGAAAAGGAAAGATTTCTGACTGTAAACAAAAGAGATAAAAAAAAGACTTAATGTCAGTCTCAATCCTAACAAAATGTGGGGGATTAGGTGTCTGTCTAGGGATGATGAGAAATGTTTGGAATACAGAAAATGTGACAGGAAATAAGATGAAATTACAGACTAGTAAATAGGACAGCTGAGGATATAGAACACTTTTGTACAGTAGACACTATCAGAACAATTCCATGACTTTCTGTAGCTCCTTTGATAGCTAAGAGAAATGACAAAACACCACAGTAGGTTATTTAGTGCTTGGGCTTATCAAATTAGGAAGGGATAGTGACAAACTTTTGGGAAACAAATGGTTAAATTCAAAGTATATTTGAGATTTAATAGTCAATTCCTTTTTCATTTTCATTGCTTTTGTTTGAGACAGGGTCTAGCAAGACTTAATGTCAATTTCCTTCCTCCTTCCCTCCCTTTCTTTCTCTTTCTTTTTTTGAGACAAGAGTCTCACTTTGTTGTTTGCAGTAGAGTGCCATGGTGTCACTGCTCAACGTCAAACTCTTGGGTTCAGGCAATCCTCTTGCCTCAGCCTCCTAAATAGCTAGCACTACATGCCCTGGCCACAATGCCCGGCTACTTTTAGAGATGGGGTCTCAAACTTGCTCAGGCTCATCTCCAACTCCTGAGCGCAAGTGATCCTCCTGCCTAGGCCTCCCAGAGTGCTAGGATCACAGGTGTGAACCACCACCGCCTGGCTGCATAGTCAGTTTCTAAAAGGAAATGTTGTCATGTCTCCTTTTGCAATTCTCGCTTCCAAAAAGGAATTCTACACTTATCCCTTATTCATCACAATTAGTTTTTTCCATTATTGTTTAAAAAATTAAACACATAATAACAATGACATCTAACATTTATGCAGAGCTTTACTTTGTGCTAGGCACTATTCTAAGCACTTTACATGCATTAATTCATTTAATCCTCACAAGCCTAAGAGGCCAAAACTCTTATTCTCATTTTACAAATGAAGACGCTGAAGCACAGAAATGTTAAGTAATTTACCTAAAGATCACACAATTAGTTAATGGCAGGGCTAGGAGTCAAATCAATTAGCAAGGCTTCAAAATAAGCACTTACAACTAATATACTACACTATTAACTCCTCATCATCACAAATTTAAAATATTCTAGTTAATAACAATGTATCATATACTTGAAAATCACTATGACAAATTTGAAGTGTTCTCCACACAAAAAAGGTATGTGAGATAATGCAAGTCAATTAACTCGATTTAGCCATTACATGATGTATACATGCAAAACATCATGTTGCACATACCATAAAGATAACTGCAGGTACTGTCAGTTTAAAAATAAATTTATAAATGCAAAAGTATTCTAATAAATATTTTCTTAATATATCATAATTTTATAAGAATAAATCAAGATAGAGCCAAGTTTATTATTTTTAGAGCCAAGAGGAAGTAAAATAAAATCATATTACTCTTGATTTTCAAAAAATTGTTTAAACTATATAGAAGTAGCTTTTTGTAAAGAATGCCTATATCAAAAAGTCATAAATGTGTGAGCAATAGCTCTCCTGACAATCTTTTTTTTTTTTTTTTTTTTTTTGGAGACAGAGCCTCAAGCTGTCCCCTGGTAGAGTGCTGTGACATCACAGCTCACAGCAACCTCCAATTCCTGGGCTCAAGCAAGTCTCCCGCTTCTGCCGCCCAAGTAGCTGGGACCACAGGTGCCTGCCACAATGTCTGGCTATTTTTTGGTTGCAGCCATCATTGTTGTTTGGCGGGCCTGGGCTAGATTTGAACCCGCCACCTTAGGTGTATGTGGCTGGCGCCTTAGCTACCTGAGCCACAGGTGCCGAGCCCTGACAATCTTAATTTACTATTTTTTCCATGTTGAAGCTATAAGACCTTTAAAAACTTTTTTTGATAGGTGTTAAGAGACAATTTCTCATAGATAAATAAAATAAATGTAAAACAGAATACATTAAGATTTAAACGTTTCACACATTGGAATTTTTATAAGGAATTTTTTTTTTCTTTTTTTTGAGAGAGTCTCAAGCTGTCGCCCTGGGTAGAGTGTTGTAGTGTCACAGCTCACAGCAACCTCAAACTTTTGGGCTTAAGCGACTCTCTGGCCTCAGCCTTCCAAGGAGCTGAGACTACAGACACCCAGCACAATGCCTGGCTATTTTTTTTTTTTTTTTTTGAGACAGAGTCTCAAGCTGTCGCCCTAGGTATAGTGCTGCAGCGTCACCACTCACAGCAATCTTCAACTCCTGGGCTTAAGAGATTCTCTTGCCTCAGCCTCCCAAGTAGCTGGGACCACAGGCACCTGCTACAAAGCCTGGCTATTTTTTGGTTGCAGCTGTCATTGTTGTTTGGCGGACCTGGGCTGGATTCAAATCCTCCAGCTCAGGTATATGTGGCTGGCACTTTAGCCATTTGAGCCACAAGTGCCGAGCCACTATTTTTTGTTGTTGTTGTTGTTGCTGCAGTTGTCATTGTTGCTTAGCAGGTCCCGGCTGGGTTCAAACCCACCACCCTAGGTGTATGTACCCTTGCCTATTGAGCTACAGGCACCACCCTTAAAAGGAATTTTCTATATAAAATATTCCATTTATTTATACCCCTTCAAAAATGATCAAAAAATGCAGAGGAGACCACAACAAAGAAGAAAGAGTGATATTTGGCAAGCCAGAGCCCCAAAAGGATAAGGTAAAATATAAGAAATAAAACCTCTGGTTATAAAGCAAAAAGATACTTAACAGTACAGAAGCCATTGGAATAATGATCTTTCACATAGGCTCTTAAAGCACTATCACAGGATTCTCTCCAAGACTTCAGACCTCCATCTATTTCTTCTGGCTGGGGATCACTTGCTTCTTTCCGTAAGTGATCAAACTTAAAGGAAATTTTGTTTCTTGGATCTAAAAATCTGCTATTACCCAGGTCACCGTGTTCTGTAATTAAGACCTTCCAAAGAATAATTACAAATATTAGTAACTTTGTAAAAAAGACAGTTGTTAACATATTTTCCAAAACAAGTAAATAAATGAATAAAAATTCTGAGGAAGACAACTTTTCATTTAGTCAGATTTCTTTTGGTATTGATTTTTCAACCAAGTCTCATTTTAATTATTATAAAGAATAGTGTATTTATGGCTAAGTCACCTTTAAACTACAAAATTTCCCTCATCCTAACAATATACATCATTTCTTGGTTACCATCTAACATGTATAAACTATGTTGCAATAATTTTTATATACACTTTTGTATTCTTTTCTTCACATATTTTTCCAGAGTCCTGATGAAACTTCTATGGAGTCATTTCATTATACTTAGCATTTATTTATTTACTTATTTTAAGAATTTTATTTATTTACTTTTTTTTTCTGGGTGGAGGACAGAGTTTCACCATGTGGCGTCACAGTTCATAGCAACCTAGAACTCTTGGGCTTAAGCCATTCTCTTGCCTCAGCCTCCCAAGTAACTGGGACTACAGGTGCCCACTACAATGCTCAGCTATTTTTAAAGATGAGGTCTCACTCTTGCTCAGGCTGGTCCTGAACCTGTGAACTCAGACAATCTACCTACGTTGGCCTCCCAGAGTGTTGGGATTACAGGCGTGAGGCACGGCGCTGGGCCCTTATATTTAGCATTTAAAATAGCTAATATATTCACGTTTCAAAAATGAAAAAATATATAATGTTTTTTTCTTACTCCTGTCTCCCAAATATCAAATAAGTACAGTAGAATCTCTGTAAGCTGACACTTCAAGAGACTGTAACAAACTGGTCAACATACAGAGGTAGTCAACATATGGAACTAGGCCTACTGTCCTGATACATCCAAGTGGTATATGTCTGATTTATGAAAATTAGGTCAACTTGGGGAGGTGGCCAATGTAAGGAGGTGGTCAACTATGCAGGTTCTACTGTAGTAAGAAGTTTATCTTTCAGTAGGAATGCTGGTTTTTCCATTAAATATGATATTTGCTGTTAGTCTTTTTTTTGGTCTTTGGAGACAGAATCTCACTATGTCGCCCTTGGTAGAGTGCCATGGCATCATAGCAACCTCAAACTCATGTGATTAAGCGATTCTCTTGCCTCAGCCACCCATGTAGCTGGGACTACAGGTGCCTGCCACAACACCTGGCTATTTTTTGGCTGTAGTTGTCATTTTAGCAGGCCTGGGCTGGGTTCCAACCCACCAGCCCCAGTGTATGTAGCCAGCACCCTGTTATTATTAAGAAGAATTAGAGATAGCTGAAAAACCTGTAAGACTTAAATCCTTTTATTTTCACTGTGTTTGTTGGAGGCCACTTTCCTTTTTGTTTTTTTGAGACAGAGTCTCATTTTGTCACCCTCGGTAGAGTGTGTGGTGTCACAGCTCACAGCAACCTCAAACTATTAGGTTTAAGTGATCCTCTTGCTTCAGCCTCCCAAGTAGCTGGGACTACAGGTGCCTGCCACAACACCTGGCTATTTTTAGAGACGGATAAGGTCTAGCTCTGGCTCAGGCTGGTCTCAAACTGGTGAGCTCAGGCAATCCACCCTCCCTTTGTCTCCCAGCGTGTTAGGATACAAGCATGAGCGACCGTGACTGGCCCCACTTTCCTTTTTTGAATCAAAGAGTTAAGTGTTATCATAGAGTAGAAAAATTCCCTAATATGTAGAATATTTACAAAAACTATGAAAACTAAGACTTGAATTTATTCAGCATCTGGTTTAGACATCTCCTTTGTTTCTACAACCTGCCAGGCATAGCCTATCTAACAGGCAATTATTACCTGATCTTCATATCCTTCTATCTTCACAGGTGTGAACTGGTCCATGTTATACTGGGCAAATGCACTGTTTTTTAAAAAAGTAAAACGAAAAGAAAGGGGGAGAGAAAAGAATTATGTATAAATAAACACAAAAGGTACTTCACATCATAGTGAAAGGGAATACTACCTGATACTTTTCACCTTTCTCCCTTCAGAAAGCTGAACTCTATGCTCAGAGATCTCAGAAGCTCCTCAAGCTCTGAAATTACCTTTTCTTCCTCACTCCTAAGCTCCAAAAGATTGTTCACTTAGACAATTCCTAAGTTCTTTTGTTTGTTTTTTGTTGTTTTAGAAATGGGGTCTATGTTGCCCAGGATAGACAGAGCTCAAGCAATTTTCCTATCTTAGCTTTCTGAGTAGCTGAGATTATGGGCACACACTACCATGCCCGGCTAATTCTAAAGTTTTAAAAGTCTGGCCAGGTGCTGTGGCTCACACCTATAATCCTAGCACTCTGGGAGGCCGAGGTGGGTGGACTGCCTCAGCTTACCAGCTTGAGACCAGCCTGAGCCGGAGTGAGACTTGGTCTCTAAAAATAGCCAAGCATTGTGGTGGGCGACTGTAGTCCCAGCTACTTGGGAGGCTGAGGCAAGAGAATCACTTAAGCCCAAGCTTTGGAGGTTGCCGTGAGCTGTGACGCCATAGCACTCTACTGAGGGTGATAAAGTAAGACTCTGTCTCAAAAAAAAAAATAAGTAAATAAACTAAAATATAATTTATTTTTAAATTTTTTTCTTTTAGAGACAGAGTCTTACTCCATCACCCTTGGGTAAAGTGCCGTGGTGTCACAGCTCACAGCAAGCTCCAGCTCTTGGGCTTAGCAGTTCTCCCGCCTCAGTCTCCCAAGTTGCTGGGACTACAGGTGCCCATCACAATGCCTGGTTATTTTTGTTGCAGTTTGGCTGGGCCAGATTCGAGCCTGCCACCCTGGGTATATGGGGCCAGCACCCTACTGACTGAGCCACTGCCACCCTTTTTTTTTTTTTTTTTAAATGGCAGCATCCCCCTTTTTTGCTCAGGGTTTTTTTTTTTTTTTTTTTTTTTTTTGAGACGGAGCCTCAAGCTATCCCCCTGGATAGAGTGCCATGGCATCACGCTTACAGCAACCTCCAACTCCTGGGCTCAAGCGAGTCTCCTGCCTCAGCCTCCCAAGTAGCTGGGACTACAGGCGCCCGCCACAACGCCTGGCCATTTTTTGGGTTACAGCCATCATTGTTGTTTGGTGGGCCCGGGCTGGGGATTCGAACCCGCCACCTTAGGTGTATGTGCCTGGTGCCTTAGCCGCTTGAGCCACAGGCCCAAGCCTGTTGCTCAGGTTTGAGTGCAGTGGTGTGATCACAGCTCACGATAGCCTTGAACTTGTGGGCTTAAGTGTTCTTCCTGCCTCTGCCTCCCAAGTAGCTGGGACTACAGGTGTACAAAACTATGCCTGGCTGATTTTTTAATATTTTTGTAGAGACAGGGTCTTGCCATGTTGCCTAAGCTAGTTTCTAACTCCTGACCTCAAGTGACCCTCTCAGCCTCCCAATGTGCTGCAATTACAGGCATGAGCCACCACAGCCTACAGAATATTCTGCATTTTCAGTGGTACTCTAATACATTTTATAAAGTAAGCTAAAGTAAAAGTTGTAAGTAAGCTGCACTGAAAAATCATAATACACTTACATTCTTGAGAAGTATCAGTCTTCTCACAGAATTTCCAATTTTAACCTACTAAAATACCTGCTAGGCCACTAGTTTTAAGCAGAACATTAAACTTTTCCAAAGCTTTTCAAAAGAAAACTAAGTAACGAATATTTAAACTTCTTCAAATATTTATAGCTAATTTTTAATCTTTACATTTTGTTAAAAGTTGTATTGTGTTTTTAAATGGATCATTTCCTTAAAACACCACACCTCTATATAGCAGAATGAGTCCCAAGCACGTTAGCTCTTCAGAAAAGAACACTGTTCACTGAAAGTAAATTAATTTTTTAAAAAAACTTAAGGAGTAGGAATTAAAATTCCATGGTAGCATATGTCCTAGACTACAGACTATAAACACCAATATCAAAATTTGCTTACATTTCATTCTATCTCAAGTAAATAGCTGCTCAAGCTATCTTGGGACCATCATTGACTTTCTTTTTTCTCACACTTTGCAACCAAACCATCAGTAAATCTTGTAGGCACTACTTAAGTGCATGTTCAGAATCTGACTCCTTCCCACAAACCCTACCTGCGACTACTCTAGTCCAAAACCCTATTATCTATCTATCCCTTCCTTAACTACTCTAATAGCCTTTGCCTCCCTACACAGCAGCCTGTGATTATTCTGAAACATGTCTGGTTATGTCATTCTCTGCTCAAAACTCTAAATAACTTATCTCTCTCAGAACAAAATTCACTCTTTAATGTGATCTACCACTCCCTACTTATTCCAGAAGTGCAAGAATCATCAAGGAATAGTTCTGGTGGTCAGAGACACAAGTGGAAATCCAGGAAAGAGGGTAAATCCTACGTCTTTCAGGCTTCCTTCATTTTATATAAACAGAAGGCAACAATGATATTGATTACTGAAATAACATTTACTGAGTGCTTGTTATGAGGAATATGGACAAGGTATTAAAGCACTTCAATACAGATATAAGAATAGCTTCATCCCTACAAAAAATTCAACATCAAGGCTCGGCGCCTATAGCTCAAC